CTTAAATTGTATTTAAAGTTCCTCATCTTATGTTTTCTTTGAGGAATGTACATTTTACGGAAATCAATGTGCTTGTACTCAATTACTGCTTGCTAAACACATTTTAAAATGAACAAATAAACGCATTATGGCATCACAAGACAAGTTACTAAATGTGACAGAACCAAGGATGAAAATAAAATTGGCTAACATGCAAACAAAACAATCATATTCATTATTCATACCCCAGTGCATGCTGGGAAGAACGCAGATGGGACCTGTAGCATAGGGCTTCAGTATGAACTACTGCATTATGAAAAAAGTGACGTGACGTGACATGTGGCCAAGTATGGTTACCCATACTAGGAATTAGTGCTCTGCATTTAACCCATCCTTAGTGCACACACACAGCAGTGAACACACCGTGAACACACACCCGGAGCAGTGGGCAGGCATTTTTATGCTGTGGCGCTCCCAAAATGCATTAATCAAACTCACCTGCTATGCTTGCTGGTTCGACTAAAATAAATCTGCATCAGGATGAAATTTGTATGAGCTTCAGAAAAGTATAGTAATCCCAAAAACTACAATAATTCAATGTTTGACTATTTTTCAGCATTTTTAACAGAGTTGGGTCATGTCAAAGTTACACCAGAGAGCAGTTTGTTCTTACAAATGTAGTTTAGAAATCCAATATTTGTAGATTATGGCACGTGGATTGCTGAGTAGATTCTGTATGAAGCATGAAGAACAGTACAAGCAAAGGAGAAAGAGAGAGATTGGATAACATGATTAAGTATTTTCAGAGCGTGACTTTAACGTCACAAGGACAGGAGATTTGAACGTAATTTACCTCAGATGGGATGAAATTAAAATTCCCTTTACTTTAACACACAAGCACACGAGTACACACATTCACACTCTATAACCATCCATCCCTGTACAACCCAGATACACGATGACTTAAATGCCCTTGAGAAAGAGAGACAAAATGAGTGTCTGAGCGTCATGCCACAGGACAGGATGGCATACGCTGTCTGGCAAAGAGTGAAAACAGAAACAAAAACAGACAGAGTTCAAGGGAAGGTCTTGGTGCCAAGCTTCAATACTGAGCTGTAGAGAATTTTTTCTTCTGAATGGATGGTTCCAGACAATAAATGTGTAAACAAGTTTCAAATAAGAGGAAATCCTCTTTATAGTGTCAGCATCATACTGTAATCTGTGATACTGATGCACTTGGATGCCCTTGCTTGCAACCTTGAAAAACACTCAAGAGAGACACATAAACATTTCAAGTGTAGATTATGCGGGGGACGTGTCCCCCCCCCCACACTTTTGATAGCACGTAAATTCGTCCCCCGCACTTTTTCGGGCAAGTGTGTTCGCATAGAGGTTTTCAAGAGCCGGTGTGAATAAATATAGATTTAAATTCAAAGAGACAGGATAGTCTGTGCATGATCTGATGTTTTATTCGGACCCAGAATAAGGCGAGATGAACATCACGGAGCGCTAAACATTCCGTGCAGTGTATGTTTCATTCATACTCGAAGCCGGAGGGCGCTCTCGTGCAGAAAGTCGTACGAGGAAATTCCTAATATGGACAAAAGCGTCCAGCTATCACTGCATGAAAACAGTTTTCACAGAAAACAGAAATGTTTGGAAACATGAAGACATTAAACATACGATTGCGACAATATGGTTTATTTGTGTTTGTCAAGTCATCTCCAGATAATAAATAAAGTATATGAACAATGCAGCGCTAACTGACATAGCATTTATTACAGTAACAGTATTGAAACTATTCTGCCTTATTATGCGATAAAAAAGTGTTTGTAGTATATAAACAAATCATTATTATTGGTTATTGTCCAGCAGTTATCTGATTTCTAAGCCAATTAAAAGCTAGAAATGAGAGAAAAATTAAAGTTGACTATACACTACCAGTCAAAAGTTTTTGAACAGTAAGATTTTTCAATGTTTTTTAAAGAAGTCTCTTCTGTTCACCAAGCCTGCATTTATTTGATCCAAAGTACAGCAAAACAGTAAAATTTTGAAATATTTTTACTAGGCTATTTAAAATAACTTTTCTATTTGAATATATTTTAAAATGTAATTTATAGTGATTTCAAAGCTAAATTTTTTGCATCATTACTCCAGTCACACTATCCTTCAGAAATCATTCTGATATTCTGATTTGCTGCTCAAAAAACATTAATAATAATAATAATAATTAAAAAAGGTTTCTTGAGCAGCAAATCAGCATATTAGAATGATTTCTGAAGATCATGTGACACTGAAGACTGGAGTAATGATGCTGAAAATTCAGCTTTGATCACAGCAATCATTTTAAAATATATTCAAATAGAAAGCAGTTATTTTAAATAGTAAAAATATTTCACAACATTACTGCTTTTGCTGTACTTTGGATCAAATAAATGCAGGCTTGGTGAGCAGAAGAGACTTCTTTATAAAACATTAAAAATCTTACTGTTCAAAAACTGTTGACTGGTAGGTTATATAGATTACAGTAAGGTTATATTGTAATGTTATATATATATATATATATCCCCTTCACTTCTGAAATAATGGCTACGCCCCTGATTTCAACTACTGTTGATAGTATATGTGACCCTGGACCACAAAACCAGTCATAAGGGTCAATTTCTCGAAATTGAGATTTATACATCATCTGAAAGCTGGATAAATACGCTTTCCATCGATGTATGGTTTGTTAGGATCGGACAATATTTGGTTGAGATACAACTATTTGAAAATCTGGAATCTGAGGGTGCAAAAAAATCTAAATATTGAGAAAATCAAAAATAAAGTTTTGATATATATACGGTAGGAAATTTACAAAATATCTTCATGGAACATGATCTTTACTTAATAGCCTAATGATTTTTGGCATACAAGAAAAATCGATAATTTTGAGCCATACAATGTTTTTTTTTTTGGCTATTACTAAAAATATACCCAAGCGACTTAAGACTGGTTTTGTGGTCCAGGGTCACATATGGTTAATAAACTTGAAGTTGCTAGTTACAACTGTACTTTTTATCTTTTAAACTCACCTGTTTTCAAATATTAGCCTATACGTATGTGACATTATGCTGCTGAAACTGTAATTAATGGTAGTTTCCTCATTTGTAAATCATTTTAGATAAAAGTGTCTGCTAAATGATTAAATGTAAATCTGAAAAATCCTTTGTCTTTTATTGTACATAAACTTACTGTGCGTTATCTGTCCACAACATCCAAAGTGTTTCCAGCGGTTGTAGCTTCCTGCCGTCTAATGAGCTCTGGAGCTCGATGTAAAGATCAGCAGATTTTTACACTGCCTGACTTCCCCATGGAGAGAGTCGTTAAGCAAATTAGTAATGACAGAGTCATTTGCATATTCATAGAGTGCCCTAGATCATGCCCTGAGACAAAGTAATACAAGAGCAACAGGTACAGAGATTCACCATTGACTTGCCAGCAAGACGATGTTTGATTTGGACACAGAGGGTTTCACAGCAGTCTGAGTTCATGTCCCGTGAATGATGGATTGAATGGTACATTATGAGCACATTTTCATTAGCTCTGGCAAAAAAAAGAAATAAATTAATTAAAAAAGTGCCCCAAAGGTTGGATAAAAGCACCAAATGATCTGTTTACTGTTGACTATGGTTTTCAATTTACAGTGGGTACGGAAAGTATTCAGACCCCCTTAAATTTTTCACTTTTTGTTATATTGCAGCCATTTGCTAAAATCATTTAAGTTAATTTTTTTCCCTCATTAATGTACACACAGCACCCCATATTGACAGAAAAACACAGAATTGTTGACATTTTTGCAGATTTATTAAAAAAAAAAAACTGAAATATCACATGCTCAGTATTTAGAGTAGAAGCACCCTTTTGATCTAATACAGCCACGAGTCTTTTTGGGAAAGATGCAACATTATACTCACCCTCCTTTCATTGATTGGCAGTGATTCAAGAAATCTCCTTCCCACTCAGCAGACACCAAAGATAAGATCAAAGAGTATATTTGATAACCCATCTTATTTTCAGCAGCCTCACTGCTCCTCGGACTGTTATATCAGCATATCACAAACACAATCAGACCTATAGTTTAACATGAGGATATTAAGGCATTGAGGGATGGCCTAAATTGGATCTTTGGTTTCTATACTGTTAAACATAAAGGCTCTAAAAGGTTTTTGCAGTGATGGGTTCCTCAAGGAACCTTTCATTGAACAGTTCTTAAAAATAACCTTTTTTTCATAATGTGAAAAACATTTTAATAATACAAAGAACCTTTTTCCACTATAAAAGAAAATTTTGTGCAATGGAAGGATTCCATGAATGTTGGTTCTTCATGGAACTTTAAGAATGTACAAAAACCTGGAACATGTTCAAGCGGTGATTTTTCTTTCCAAGTGGTGTTTATTTAAGAAAACTGTGTTTATTACAGGACTCAACTGTAATAGCTCATGTTTAGCCCTAAAGTTTTTTTTTTTTACAACAAGTACAAGTCTATACAAGTTCTTCTTGGGACTACAACGTCCATGTCCTCGCGAGGAGCAAATAATTATGAAAATCCTTGTGTCTTCAAAAAAATATGAAATTCATATTCGATTTGAAATCATGATAAATAGATAAATACATAACACAACGTTACAACCCGTCTGAACAGACTCACAAATAAATAAATAGAATCATAAATAACATTCAAAAAATATCTTTGGCCAAACGAGGCCCATGTAGACATTTCCTCCTCAAAACTCTTTCCACCGAAGCTCGAAATCCAGGCTGCGGTCAACTTCGGTTAGCGACGCCATTCATCCTTAAGAAGGGTGACGAAACAAAGCTAAACCATAAAAAGAAGAATTAACAAACCAATTCCATTGAGGCACTTTTTAAGGATGTCAGAAAAATGTTGCATCTTTTATGTGGTTCTTTTTTTTTTTCGTGAAAAACAAAGCTGAATAAATATGACCAAAATACCACCAACATTCACTTAGATAATCCAAAGGCTGCATTTTATTCTGGCTTCCTTTATCCTCTCTTGTTTTGAGTGTGAAATCAAGGCAAACTAAAAGAAAAAGGTGAAAATTAACAACTACAAAGTAATGCAACGAAATCTGGTAAAATAAAATTATGATACTATGTTTGTTTCAAACCCAGTGTAAAAAAGTGAAACGAAAAAAAACCATCAGTGTTTGTTTTCAGTGGTGGTGCTGGATGTTACGTCTGATTGGCTCTCTGATCGTTCTCCGAATATCCCTGCGAGGGTTTTGAAGCGAGGCCCCCACTCGTTGAGGTAATCGTAGTCCTCCTCCGTTTCACCCTTTACAGACTCTATAGAGCTTAAACTCTCGGCCACCGAGCCCTCGCCCTCGTAGGCGTAAGTGGCCAGCGAGTCGTACGGCGGGGCGGAAGTGTCACCGTCGTGTTCTTGCAGCCGCTGATTGATAAAGTTGCTGATGTCAGCGCTGTTCTGCGAGGCTATTGGCCGCCGTGGACACAAGCCCAACTCTGGCTTAACGTCTCGGCGAAACAGGTTTTCTTTAATGACTTTGGGGTTGCGAAGGGTACCCATGTCGAAGGCGTGCGTGTCCTCCTCACCCCCTCCTTCGTCGTCGTAATGGATGACATTGTCACGGATGTCCTCTTTGGACGTCATGAGAGTCTCTTTCTTCTTCTGCCGCCTAACCCCAACATAGAGAACCACGATCACTGCAGGAAACACACGAGCAGAACGGAAAGGAAAGATTAGCATCTTTTTATAACTCTCATACACATTAAAAAAGCAGTCATGTGCTTTTTAAGCTGGTCAAAATAATATGCATGTGACAGGGAAAAAAACACAGGCGATTAGTTTGTTATAATTAGAAGGCGGGTCTTCTGTTCCTATGGTTTCTGTATTGAACATTGTGATTTCTCCCATTCATTTTTCTACGAGTGACTCAAATCGTCCTCGTTACGCTGCCTGTACAATCAGGGAGTGAGGCAGGCAGAAAGACGGCAGAGGCCAGTGGAAACACTCTTCTCGTTTAATCAAGGAGACAACCCCCTCATTTGTCAGAGTTTTCCATGATTGGCAAACAGCTCCTGACTGCAGTCATCATTTAGAGACAGAATGAAAGCTGCAGCAGTAATGTGTTCCCTCCAGCTGATGGACTCACTCACCCATCATGTGTGTCTATTTCACTCCTCTCGTGTTATTCATTTGTTATTGACTGGCCACTGAAGATCCACAGAGATAGATAGACAGATAGATAGATAGATAGAACAAGAGAATTATAGAACAAGAGAATTATAGAACAATAGAATGATCGAACGATCGATAGATAGATAGATAGATAGATAGATAGATAGTTGGAACGATAGACAGAACAAGAGAATTATAGAATGACAGAACGATAGATAGATAGATAGATAGATAGATAGATAGAACAAGACAATTATAGAACAAGAGAATTATAGAACAACAGAATGATCGAACGATCGATAGATAGATAGATAGATAGACAGATAGATAGACAGAACAAGAGAATTATAGATAGATAGATAGATAGATAGATAGATAGACAGACAGATAGACAGAACAAGAGAATTATAGATAGATAGATAGATAGATAGATAGATAGATAGATAGATAGATAGATACATAGATAGATAGATAGATAGTTGGAACGATAGACAGAACAAGAGAATTATAGAATGACAGAATGATAGATAGATAGATAGATAGATAGATAGATAGATAGACAGACAGATAGACAGACAG